AAGAGGGGCTGACTCAGGTACGTCATCGGTAGTAACGGTTTTGTCAGGTCGGCGTAAGAGCAAGTAAGGCGTGAGCTCGCAGCCAACAATTGGTATATCAGAAGGGAGGTGTACCCGTAGCACGCTCAGGCTCAGCATGCTTCAACTTCCGCGGCTTCCTTTGTCACAGTTCGCAACGATCACTGCTTTTTAAGCCTATCAAAACCAACCCCACACTAACAATATCAGCAGAACAAGAAATGACCTCGAAAATATGAGCAGTTCTATTGGGGCGGAGTCCAGGCGGATCCGCCATTTACATGAACCAAGAACCCGCCAGCCTTGACCCAAAATCACCTTTCTTTTCTTTCAAATCAAACAAACCTAATTTAATATAAAGAATAAAATGCGAAGTTAACAGCTGATCTTGAAACAAGTTTTAGGGTTCGGAAAAGAATTTATCCAAGTAATGGGTGAAGGAGGAAACGAGAGATGGAATGGTAATTAGGGTTTTACAGAGGAAATGAAAAGGGAAAATATTAGATTTATATTGAACGAGAGAAAACTATAATAAAAAATAATAATTGAACGACATAAAAGAAAATAGTAGCAATAAGTTAACAGGAAATAATAAATATATAAATAGAATATTCGGAAGTGGAAGGTGTCGCGGCGGAGCGATGGCGGTGCAGCTCAAGACTAGCGGCTTTGTTTGGATTTTCCCCTCATTTATTGGGAGCTTAGCTCTTTATATTAATGATCAAAGGCAAGAGGACAAGCAGTTTTTTTTTAATTTTTATCTTGGACAAACTATGCAAATAGTCCCCTTTTTTTAGTCTTACCGACTTTGATCACTAATTTAAAAATTAAGGATAAATGGTCCCTAACATTATCGGTCCATCTGTTTAAGTCCCTCTGTCGATAACCCTTAACGAATATGTGACATAGTTGAGGGACTAAAATCGAATGCTAATTAAAGGCTGAGAGACTAAAATCAAACGGATCAGTAATGTTAGGAATTAAAATTGGACGGATTGATAACGTTAGGGATCATGTACCGTTAATTTTTAAATTGGTGACCAAAGTCGGTCAAACGAAAAACAAAGGGGACTATTCACATAGTTTACTCTTTTATCTTTAATATTTTCGTTTTGGCTAAACTACGCTCCTAGCCACTATAAACTTTAGTATGTTCTTGTTTTGCTTATCCAAATTTGAGGTAAACGAAGAAATTGAGTAAACTAGAATGTTTGGACCATTTATAAAAGAGAAAATAACCTCAGTGACAAAAAATCCCAGATAATATACGATTTTGACCAACTTTTTTTGGATTTGCGAAAATGACCAACAAAATCGCAATGCGATATCTAATTCGCATTGCGATCTCCACTATCGCAAATTCTTGCGAAAATGATGTATGAAATAATAATATTTTATTTTATTTTTTATATGAATTAGAATTGTATAATTTTCTTTTAAATTTTTATTTTTAAAATTTTTATTTTAAAAAATTATTTTTTATTAGTCTAAGGTGAGTATAAGATAAGATACTCGGATCGATTGATTCATATTATTCAAAATAATTTAAATATAAAATGATAATAGGAAATTATACTAAAACATATTATTAAAAAATGAAAAGGCAAATTTTATTACATAAACAATAGAAATGAAGAAACAATGTTGTTGTTTGACCAAGTGCAGGGCCAAGAACATTGACAAGTGGAACGGCTGATAGAAGTCTGATCGCAAGTGCCGGAGCTACCTTGGAAAGTTTGGGCACATTGGCTGCTACAAGTCTAGCATCGCAAGAGCCATTTCCAGGTATTTGCTCATGGCATACTTCTTGTCCTTGGACTTCATGCATCGTCAAACCAACTGCAACATTTTACAAACATATTAACTATTTTATAAAATTCCGGTCGCAACAGTGGCAAATTCAAAAATAATTCTTAGGATGGGCAGATGTATATTAACAACATAAAATCTGTGTATGGTAGATAAAATTAAAATTTTAAGGTGGAAACATCAATAAAATAAGTTATTATCAAAGAATATTCGAATTTCAGGATAGCCACGTGCCTCACAAATCTATCACTAGGTCATTATATTTTTACAATAAAATTTGAGTCCTGAAAATATAAATAAAAATACCTAAGAAAATGAGGAGTATGAGAAAGAAACTTTGGTGGAGAGCTTGAACATTTTGGAGAAGTCTGAATGCAAGTGAAGTTATTTGAGAATGGTATAATGACAATGAAGGGTGGTGTTTTATAGGGTAGAATTGGTCTACATTTGTCATTGATGTAAACAACTTAATTCTTTTAGCATCTTGGTGGGAAATTTCAGGGTTGTTCGGAGAAAGTTAATGTGATGTCAGGATCAGTTGTTGCTGGCTATTTCACTAGAATAAGAATTTGCTAACCATGAAAAGTTTAGGTATTTGAACTACCGCGAATTGGATCTGTTGATGCGAGCTACCTTCTCCATAGCTACGAACAGAAACTACCAGAGTTAAATGCAGAAATGAATCATGAGCTTGCTAGTTTTTGACCCACAGAAGATGCTTGTGTAAGCTTGCAAGGTTTCTTTTTCGTTCTTTTTTTTTTACAGGGATTGCATAGTAAACGGATGTGTAAGCCATAGCTGTTACTCGATTTTGCATAGTAATCGTTTTATAAATGCACCTTGCCCTTATAGACAACTTAACAGTTACTCTCATCACATGTACAACAAAACTTGAAGTAGAACCAGTAGAAAATTTTACTTGTGCTCTGCTGCCTGACAACAGGTTTCTGCAGTGGATCAGACCAGATTCAATGAGTTGTTTGGTCTTTAGTTTTCTTAAGGTGTGCCTGCATTTAAACTTTTCGAGTGAAGTGAAGGCTATTTATTAGGTCTTGTTCTTGCACTTGTTAGATTTAGATATTCTTTTGAATTTCATTTTGTAAATAAATGTGTTTTAGAGATATTTGTTTTATATAAAAAAGATATCACTAGGGACATGCACCCCACAGCTTCCCAGCTTGCTACTTGCCTAATCATGCATCTTGTGGATATGAAAATCTAGTCATCATTCATTGCTCTTAGCAAGGCAAGGCCGCCTGGACCTGTTTCAACAGCTCTGTGCTGCTGGTTTCTGATCATTACAATAATGTGCTTGGGGTCTTCTTCTGATGCGTAAGCAAGTGCAAAAAGTAATTTGTTTTGGGTATTATTACAATAAGAGTTAGTTATGCAGGGTACGGTATTTGGAATCGAGTATCAGTACTGATATGGACGTTTGTTGATGTGGATATAAGCAACTTTTTTCTAAGTTTTTTCATGTATTTGCAGAGTAATATTTCTTGTTTCGATCTCTAAATATATTAGACATGGATATTGAACAAAGATGTTTAAAGAAAAAAATGACAGCATAAGTAACTCCGGATGGAGGGTTTTTATTATGATTGATTAATAATGAACACTTGGAGGCCCATGCGATGCCCAACAGGTCTGCATGTTTCAGTTAATTCGTTATGATGATTATTTGGTTATGTTTTTAGCACCTTATAGGCTGCAATCAGGGGTGGATTTACGTGTAATTTATTGGGATCAATATTTGCATTGTAAAAAGTAAGAAAGTTTGGGAGAAAAAAATTAAATGTACTTGAATATACTAATTCCATTCGATTTTTACTTGATACAAAACCTAGAGCCGTCACCGACTGCAAAACAAACTGTTGGAGAAACAACGATCATATCTAGAGCATCATATATATATATATATATTCAAACTCGTTCCCAAGTTTTATACGACTGATGTTTCTTAAATTCCAGATTCTTTTTTTCGTATAAACATAGGTTAAATCTGATAAAGCAGAATATTTATATTATTTTATGTTGTTTTTATTATTGGGATCAATCAGGGTTACCATTTTTTTTATAAAAAAAACAGCTACTATTGGTAATAAATTATTACTCGGTAACGATCTTTTCTATGAACCAAACGTGAGAATGTAATTCCGCAAAAGATTATTACCCCGCGAACCAAACACCCTGTAAATATTAAGAATTAAAGTACATTGCACGGCATTGTTAAAAATCACGAGTACAAAACAAGGAAGACGGATTCCACTCGCTCGTTGACATCTACCAATTTCATGAACAAATCCTAGCTTCTTTCCGTTCGCACACAACTCCAGAATAGTAAAAGAACTTAAGCAGAAGAAACAGGCCACATTATATGTACATTATGCAAAACACAAGATGAGACTTAACCAACCACATTGTAAAACTAAACATCTAATTTCATAGATTTTGCATGCAAAAACCAAACCTTATTCATAAGTAATTTTAACACGAAAATCGCACTTACAAGCATATGATGTCTTGCATAGCCATAGTTGTAACTTGCAATAATATATGTACGTTATACAGCTCAAGACTAGACTCAACCCACCACATTATAAAACTAAACATCGTATTTCAAAGTTTTTGCATGCAAAAACTACACTTTATTCCTATGAAATTTCAACACAAAGACCGCACTTTCAAGCATATGATGCCTTCCTTAGTTGTAACTTGCCACAATATATGTACATTACGCAGCCCAAGACTAGACTCAACCCAACTCATTATAAAACTAGACATCTTATCTCAAATATTTTGCAAGCAAAATCTAAACCTTATTCATAAGTAATTTTAATGCAAAGACCACACTTTCAAGCATGTGATGCATTGCTTAGTTGTAACTTGCAACAGTGACACAGCGAGTTTATCTAATTCCACAAATACTCTAGATTATGAAATGATTAACGTAAAAGGGCGCTCTATTTCTAGAACATATCAGATTACCATTTCATGTATGGTATAAATTGCATGATTTCTGATAAACCATTGGCCGCCATTCAATATATGGATGTTCCATTAAGAAATTGGATGAACATCAACTACAAACTTTTCATTAAAACATAACGGATTAAAGGTGACAATCCAGCAAGGATTATTCAAATCTAGAATTCAAACACCAGAACTCATAAAAGTCTACAATAAGCCAAGTTAGAGAACAAAAATTTGAATTTAAAACCAGTATCTGTCACAAATTATCACATAAAAATCCAAAACTCCCAATATCCATTAGCTAAATTCACGATTCTCAAACAGTAGCTAAATTAAAAAGAAAAAAAAAATCACATACCAAATTGCTTAGTCCCCATGTAGATCAACTAAAATTGAATCAATTAGTCTTGGGGTCAGGCATTGGGAACAACCCAGCACCAGCAGCTCCTCGAGGCGGCGAAAACCCCAAAAACTTCTGCAAGTTAGTCCTTATACTAATCGAACACAAGAAGTACAGAAAGACCATCGAACAATCCGTGGCATCCTCCCCTTTCAACCCTCTATGACTCATCTTCATCACAATCCCAATCGGCTTAAACGGCAATTTGGCGACAACTTTCCCTTCGAAAAGAGAATTCAAGAACCCAAAAACGACGATCAAAACGAGGGCCACGACAGCCCCAGATTTGAACTTGAACAAGGACAGGTCACGGCTGGATTCTTTGAGGCTGGTTTCGACGCGGTCGATCTTTTTCGTTTTGGATTTTTTGGTGGATAACTTGTTTGGGTTTTGGTCGGTTTTCATGGTTTCGAGTTTTTTGGCTGCTCTGTCGATTGAGGATTTGAGGGATTTGTAAGAGTTGGTTCGGTAGATTAAGAGCCATGATATGGCTTCGCAAACAATGGCGGTGCAAAAGGAGATTGCTACGACGGTTAGACTGTCGGAGTATTTGAACGATGATAGGAACTGTTGTGTCGCCATTTTCTGAAGGAAAATATTTTCTCGGGAAAGTTGGTTCTCTGGAAGAAATTGAATAAGAAAAGGTCTCTAAGAGGTTAGATCCGTTCGTAGTCAAAAGATTCGAATCGGGAGTAGCCGACAATCAAACAGTGGGCTGGAAAGTTGGCCCATTTACTTTTAGGCTTTTGGGATTGTTTGGATACTGTTTTTCTAAATATCTTTACCCTTACCCAACCCAAACTCAACCTACATTAATTAAAAATAAACCCAACCACTGGTGGATCTAAGAATTAAAAAATAGGGGTCCAAAATAAATATTATAATATTCATTATAATATATCCAAAATAAATCGCCGGTGAACAGCGTCGTGGCAGGTGGTTTAGACACAAACAAAAGACTGAAAAATGAGAATTGAGTAGTAGTGGGGTTGGAGTCTGTGGGTTTGAACGCAAAACATAAGCTTTAGTATTAGTAATAGCTGAAATGAAAGGTTTTTAAATGATATATTATTTCAATTAGTTTTTAATTGAAAATATAATAGATTGACAGTTTCCAAACACAAATTTCAATTACAAACATGCAGAAAAGAGCACAAATTCCAACTACAAATGTGTAGAAAAGTCAAAATAAAAAAAAAAAGGGTGTTTTTAAGTTTTAATATAGTATATTAAGCGTAAGGAAAATGAGTATGCAACTGCTACCTCATGGCCACATAGGTCCGCTCCTAAACCTAACCCAAAATTTAAAAAAAAATATTAAATTATATACCATTGTACTCCCCATCGATTATTTTGAATCGTGTAAAAAAATCTTATACCCTTCCATCATTTATTGTATTTTATAATTTTTTTCACCTTCACATCTCTAATGATTCGACATCAATTGTGTGAATATGTATGTTGTAAAATTTAATTTTGAGTGATTTTTCATCTTTTATTTATTAAGTGAGACGAATCAAGTATTAGTAAAATTAGGAAGATTGAAAATGTAATCTTAATAAATGATCGAATGTTGGGCCTGCCCATGTCTTCTTTATTTCATCAGTGAACAATTTCTGTCAGTATTTATAATTGGCATTTTGCCGCGTTCCACAAGCCGAGTGGAATTTCTTGCCTTCACAGACTACGTGGGTTGGTTACTTGGTTTGCATTAGCAATGAAGTTTCAGTTGTCAGAATCAGAGGTAGAAGACGAAGAAAAAAAGACTCTTTGGGCGTATTAGTCAACATGACAGTTCCAACACGGCAAAATTATGTTTTTTTTCATTAAGAGGGAAGTTCACAACAAATATTAACATCCAAATATACATAAGATTTGTATTTGACGGAGATTACTGGTTTTTATATATTGTTCTTAGTTATGCTTCTTTACATGGATTGCCAAGGCTGCTTAGAAGTAGAAAGAGCTGCTCTTTTACAAATCAAAGATTCAATGAGCTGCTCTTTTACCCATGTCTTCGTTAAACCTCGCGGAGCGGACCAATTCGTATGAGTCATGCTACAACGGGACTAATACCCGAGAAGGTCCCCCTGAAACCCCCGAACTGAAGGACCACCCCTAATGGAGGCATGTCCTGATCCCATTCAACTATAAGGGGAAACGAGAAAGATGAAATGAAAGGGAAAGCAGCTACACCCTACTTTCATAGCTTGATATTGGTTCAAATCCAATTCGTGAGATGGCAGTGATCTTTAAAAGAAAGAATTCTACTCTGCTCCTCGAGAAAAGATAAAAGAAAGAGGTCAGCTAAAGGTGGGTGACGGGTTCCTACCCGAGTCAAGAAAGAAAGAAGATGAGTCTCAAGCCATTTTAACGAAAGGTGACGGAGCGGTACCCCCAGCCATGAGTAGCTTAGGCGGGGAAGTAAAATTAGTCCTTGTTCGTACATGGGTTTTCTGGGACAAAATGAGCCACTTCAAATAGGTTCATTGCTCCGGCCTAGAATACGATTAATCCGGCGTGGGCTACATGAGCCCCCAATAGTTTTGCCGGATAAATTGATAATTCGGGCATTCCCGGCCCACCAAGCGAAATGTCACCAGTTTAGCTATTATTTTCCCCACCATTTTGAAGCTCCAAATTTATCCTAAAATTTTACGTCAGTTTCTGTCTTACAAAAAAAAAACTTTTGCTAAGAGCGTATTCTAAACCAATTATTCGATCTGGAGATCCCAGCAAGGTTGCCGGAGACATCACTAAACCCAGGGATGTCTCTTGCAAAGAAGAATTCGTAGAGATTTTTCCGGAACCCCAGTCCAGCCTACCCGACTGATATAATCTATTATTTTCGTTTTGAAGCTCCAAATTTATCCTAAAATTTTACGTCAGTTTCTGTCTTACACATGCACACGCGCGCTCCCTACTAATGACAATAGTTTTCCTATACATTAACTGAAGTCTTGGATGTTGTGCCACAAATTTATTCTTTGCTAAATATTCTCTGACTCTTGACTTTGGTGCAATATTTTCTATTAGGGCTTCTGATGAGCATGGTGTCGGTGTCCATTTTCTTGTCCCATGGCATTAGCTTTTGGAGACAACAGATCTACTCGTCGAGCTTTTACATTAGTAGTTTTATTCTTTCTTCTGCATCTCCACTTTGTTTGTCCATACATCACATGCATGCACATGCATAGTCGAGAGAACCACACAATATGAGTTTTTCAACAGTTGAAGGTGCACATCATGGTGTCTTGAAGGCGCACATTGTAATGTCTTGTCCTTTGATTTTCAACACAAACATGTATGAATCTTGATTTCCATATGACTAAATTCAAGTGTGGATGATTTTGTATTGGGATGAGCGGACCACTCTATGTTAGATGAGATTACTACCATGAAATTTGTTAATGGATGGGGTGTGAAATTACTAGAGGTTTGCCATTAAAGACCCCTCCAGTTTTAGACAGAACCATGCTGAAACCCCAAAACCCACCTATGATAGAGTTTGAACACCATGAATCCGATGACATCAAATATATATAAAAAAACAAACAAGCTCTATCAAAAAGAAGAAATGGTCTTTAAATCCATCTTGTTTGACTCCTACAAACTTGGAGTCTTGGACAACTCAAGGAACAAGCCATTGAAGATGGAGCTTTATCCAGATGCACCACATTCGAAGTCCTTTCAGCGATTGATTTGTTGCCTTCCACGAATCCGATGACATCAAATATATATCAAACACAAACAAGCTCTATCAAATAGACGAGGCTCTCATGTATCTTTACTTTTCTAAATTAAAAATGTACCACCTAAACTTAGTTTAGTGAGATATGATGTTAGATTATTAGACACTTAAATTCGAATTTTGATATTATATATCAATAAAATAAATAATGTTAAAGTTATGAATGAAATAAACTAAGAATATTATTAATAAATTTTTAATATCAAAATTTAAAGTAATTGACTAATAAATTGAATATAAGATGATTATAAGAGAAAATTAAAAGTAAATTAGAACACATCAGTTAAAAAGTAAAGGAAAGCAGGATTTGATTTGAATAGTAGATTTAAACTCGAATCAAAACTAATATCAAAATAGTCAGCATGCGCTTTATTTCAACCACATACATATTGCAGGAAAATAAACATAGAAATAGCGTCTTAATAGCGCAGAAAGTATGAAAGGCAGACTGAGATTTTCGAGCAGCGTCGGAGTGAAAGAATTGCAAGAAATCATAAAAATCGAAGGGCTTAAACAGCAAAGGGTGTTGTTCATCAACCAGCTCTTGGGGTGCCTTTATTATATAACCTTTCTTGGGATTCGAAAACAATCCAAAGAGTATCTCGCCTCGTTTCCTTTCATCATTACTCGATGATATGGAGGGTGCAATCTACCATTTAACCATGCCTGCAACAAACAACATTCATAAATTAGCCATTCCAACTCGGAATCTCAATTCCTCTCTTGTAATGTAGGTTAGTAACCCAAACAATGGGGGACTGTTTTTTGGGATTGCATTATTAATATTTCGAAGGTGGCTGGAATGGGTAGTTGTCTTTTGACAATTTTGCCTCTCTACTACTCTTATAAAGGGATAGTCTCTCTTCCTAATTGAAACATACAATGGATGGTTGATTTTTTCTTTCTTTATAAAAAATTTCTTGTTGAAGAGCAACATAAATGGATTCTACTTCTTCACTTCAGGTGTACAAAGTTTGAAAGATTGTGTTAATCAAGTGTAACATCCACTTTCGGGATTAAACCAATTTAGACTAAATTGTTTCTAAGACAGTGAAATCTGCTTGTATTGCTCTCTTCAACAAGAAATTTCCGAGAAATAAAAGGAACCATCCAATTATATGTTTCAATTAGGGAGAGGACTATTCCTTTATAGGAAAAGTAGAGGAATAAAATTATCAAATGACAACTATCTACTCCCAAATTATAAATAATTCAATTCCTGAAAATTCTCATGCGTACTAACAATGCAAACAACTTACATGGAGAGAATCCCCGATGAAGACGGTCAAAGAATGGGGTTTAGCAGTGACCCATTCTCCATTTTGAGCTGAATTTCCAGTCCTTGGATGCCTTGGCATATAACAGTGACAATATTCTTATCTGTGTGATCTCTTGACCCAAGCTTTTTCTCACTTGTGTTTGGTGCTTTGTATTTCATTCCCCTCAAAAGATATCTCGTCGAATTCATGTGTTCTTCCATGTACTTCTCAACCCCAAAACTCTCCACTATCATCCTCCTTACCATTCTATCAATCTCAGACATTTGCTCTACCATCCATCCTACACTTTTGCTGCAAATATATTATCAAAATTAACATCAATTTTTTCATAAAAATGAAAAAAAAATCGATGGAAAATATTGAAATGGGACCTGAAAGATGTGTTTCCATGGGGCCAAAACCTATTAGTAAGGGACTCAACATTTTGAGCAACGTTTGGATCTTCAATCCCTATGCTTTCATAAAGTGGTGCATTAGGATGGGGTGCAATATAGGCATGAGAGGGATTGTCCGACACATTCTTCATTTTGGTTTCTAATGGCAACTCGAAAAGGTTTTCGAGACCTTCGAACACCGCCTTCCGTAGCTCCGATGAAGTTTTCTC